CCCAAATCAAACAATTTTTGTCCTAAATATTTTTCTCGACAATGCAATGTTTTAGAGATATTCAGATGTAAAATTTTCAAATGAACACACGATATATCAATATACGTAGAAGGTATATCAATACGTTATATCAATATATCAATATATACACGGTATATCAATATTCGTAGAATATACGTAACCGAGTCAAGTTTGCGTACGGAGATGGTACTCATTTATAAATTACATTTAATCGAACAATTATATATAATTGTCAATTTTTATTTATTTCTAATAGGATATATGTATATTCCATTACAAACACCATCTTTGAGTCCGGCTTATAAATATGCTTCAAAGTCTCTCAATTTCCTTGTATGCATCGAAAGGACCTTCTTAAAGTAGCTACTACGTTAATTAAAATTGAAGATTAACATTTGCCATGAAAGTATGTCGTTCAGTACGACGTAGCACATTTTTTAGCGAATTTTCAATACTGAGATATCTCAGCGTTTAGGTGATGAAAGTGGACGATATTTTTCAGAAACACTAATTTTAAATCAAATATGACTACGATGAATTTTTCATAAAAAATTTTGGAAAATTTTAATCTATTTTTTACTACGTTATTTAGACAATATGTGATGTGAATCTTGAAAATTGATTAATATATATCCCTTCATTTGTTTCAAATTATTGAATACCTTACGTAGAAAATGCTTTTGTAACGAACGATGTACAGAGTATTGACCGAAATAAGAATACTACAATATTATTATGATGCTGATGCCTCCTTAACGTATATACAATTTTCATCCAAAGTTGAAATTTGGTTAAATTTCCGTAATAGCCCATATATGACCCTTTGTTTTCAATATCAAATTCTTAGACCATGTGGTCTGTAATTACCCTAGAAACGTCATACTTATAATAAGGTCTTAAAAAGTTTAGGCATCAAAAGTTTATTTACGTAGATTCCACAGAACTACCTGAAGAAGAGTTTTTTTGTCAAACCGTTTTTAGTGTCCCCCTCCGATTTTAACCGTTTTTCGATATGTTATTCTTCATCGAAATCTGAGTGAGACATATTTTTTATGGGCAGAAAAACGGTTTTAAGGGGTGAAATCAACCCAAAAATTTAGTCACCTTCAGCGGTAGTTTCGCAGTTTAGCATATTTCCAGTTAAGATATTTAAATGAAATCAATTGAAAAATGGTGCTAATGGGGAATAATGAAAAATACATTTTGTTCGATTCTAATACGATGAACATATAAATATTGGGTTGGCAAATAAGTTTGTTCGGTTTATGTTACGGTGGTGATTCACTCCTAGTCGCTCTTGTTGTTCTTGGCGGTATTGTGCAATTCTATTGCGCAGCTGAAAGTCTAGGTTCCACATAAGTTTTCTGTGAGTGTACGTTTGGCTAACATCAGTTCTCTATGCTCTACGTAGCTGTAAAAATGGAAGGAAATAAGTTGCATTATCCTCATATTTTGCTTTATTACTTCAAAAAAGATAAACGAGCTGCGGAAGCTCGTAAAAAGATATGCAGCGTATATGGGAAAGATGCCTTAACAGAACACGTATGCCAAAATTGGTTTGCGAAATTCCGTTCTGGAAATTTCGACATTAGTGATGCACCTCGCTCTGGTCGCCCGACCGAGATTGATTCAAGTATTGTAAAAGACTTCGTCGATCACAATCGATCCCATTCAGTGCGGGAGATTGCTACAGCACTTACAAGGAAGGTCACCTTCCTGTACTCCCACAACCTGGGTCGAAAAAATTACGTTTTGTAGTTCACATCAAAGTATAAACCCTCACAAAAAATAAGCTGCCCACTTGCATATTTAAGGGGTGAAATTAATTTCTCAAAATCGGTGATTTTTTCGTTTTTCGCTGATATCTTCGAAACCAAAATAGATACGGTAAAAGTTTAAATAGCAGAGTTATCCATTGTTCAGTGCTCTGCAATAATATGTAGTTGAAAATTATATAGAATTTTTTAATTTATTTTATTTTCATAAAAAATGTGTTATTTTATGCATTTTCCTCTATTTTGTCATAATAAACTTCATTGTTTCGACTCAAAATTCAATGATATCAATCTACATTGGTTTTTTCCATCTCAAGAACTCATTAAACCAGAGAGTTTTTTTTTCTAAACGCAAACAATTTTATAGATTTCAACTGATGACGTGTTCTTCTCAATATCAAACTATGAGGAGGACTTCTTAAAATATGTTTTGTTTTTCCATGATATCCTATCTGTGAAGTTTAATATTGACATATCAGTAAAAACCTTTGTGTCTCAAACACTTCTTTGAGGAGTATCATTATTGTAATGAACATATTTTATAATATGAAAGTGAAGAAACTGATAAGTGCTTTTTCCTCCTGCTTTCATGAGTACTAGACATCTTAATAGCTCTAATACATGAATTAAAGACTTTAAATAAAGTTTTGTATGGAATGGAAAAAAATCATCTGATACTTATTCGCTTGTACTAAAATGGATGCACAAAACTGAACTAGAAGTAAATGATTTATGAGTATTTTAAGACAAGCGTAGAGCAGCATACCTGAATATACTAAACCTATATATGTATGTAAACATTTTCCGTTTGAAAAATTTATCAATCTTGTTTAATTTTCAGGTAAAATAAGAACTTTTTCGATGATCAGACGAAGAAAAATGTATAAAAAACACGTTTCTTATGAAAATAAAATAAATAAAAAATTTCTATATAATCTTCAACTACATATTATTGCAGAGCACTGAAAAATGAATAACTTTGCTCTTTAATCTTTTGCCGTATCTATTTTGCTTTCGAAGATATCAGCGAAAAACGAAAAAACCACCGATTTTGAGGAATTAATTTCACCCTTAAATATGCAAGTGGGCACCTCATTTTTTGTGAGGATTTATACTTTCATGTGAACTACAAAACGTAATTTTTTCGACCCAGGTTGTGGGGGTACAGGAAGGTGACCTTCCTTGTTAGTATATCCCATACAAGCGTGGAAAACCATTTGCGTTTGCTGAGATACGTTTCTCGGCTCAATGTTGGGTGCCGCATCAGTTGACCGAGGCCAACTTGACTAGTCGCATATCCATATGCGATTCGCTACGAAAACGCCAAGAAAACGACCCATTTTTGAAGCGGATGGTTACGGGAGATGAAAAATGGATCGTCTACAGTCACGTAGTGCGCAAAAGATCTTGGGGCCGAGCAACAAGCCGCCTTAAACAACCTCGAAGGCGGGATTGCATCCACAAAAGGTGATACTCTCTGTGTGGTTGGATTATAAAGGTGTTATCCACTACGAACTGTTACTGGCAGGCAAGACGATTATTCAACTGTATATTGCTCGCTGTTAACGAAGCTGGACGAAGCAATACGCAGAAAACGTCCAGAATCGGAAAATCGGAAAGGAATTGTCTTTCACCACGACAACGCCAGACCCCATACGTCGTTAACCACTCGGAAGACATTGTTAAGTCTTGGCTGGGATATTTTGCCTCATCCTCCGTATTCACCGGACCTGGCACCCTCTGATTATCACTTATTCCGATTGTTGCAAAATTCTCTGAACGGGAAAACCTTCAGTGATGAGGAGAGTATTAAAAATCGCCCGGATAGGTTTTTCGTTGATAAGCCTCAGATGTTTTACGAACGCGGCATAATGCAGTTGGTAACACGATGGCAAGGGGTGATAGATAATAATGGTCCATATATGTATAATTGATTAGAATTTCTTTTTTCTTTTCAATAAATTGTATTTCATTACACTTTAAAAACCGAACGAACTTATTTGCCAACCCAATATTTTTAGGGGTTAAAAGTTGCAAAATTTTTAAACACAAATCGTCTATCGTACTTTAATGGGACGAATTACTACCTGCCAATTAGTAACTATCTCTACACATGTACAACTATGTTTCCATTAAAACCGCATTATTTTGCTTAAATTTGCCTTTCCAACTATTACAAAATTCTTTTTATTTAATTTATTATCATAAAAAAAATGTTTAAAAGACAATGACTTCTTACACCAAGAATACCGAATAACTGGAATATAATTGCATTGTGGGATTGGATAATGAGATTCATTGGTTTCTCCGGAACCAAAATCCGCAGCATTTTCAAATCTTTCAGGCTTCACTTTTGGATAGCCACTTTTGAACCAAGAATACTTGAACAGATTGACATACATATCGTGAGGATGATAAAATCATAACTGATTATGAGTCAGAGATTGCAATTTAATAATATTATTCCTCAAATGCAAATATCATAATTCATTAATAAAACATTGTTAGAGAAATTTAAAGTCCAGAATCGATTTCAACGACCTCCAAAACCCTTGGAATATAAGATTTCGCGAGCGTACGAGAAATGCCACCAGATGAGGGTCAGAACACACAGGAATGGTTTTTGTAAAACTTGCAACCGAAAGTTATTGAAGTGAATAAGCTCCTCAATTAACGCATAACAATAATTTTGTTATACTTGGAAAGGCAAATTTAAGTAAGATAATGCGGTTTTAACGAAAATGTCGTTGCACGTGTAGCAGTAGTTCACTTCTTTAATGACGTATTTTTCGAAAAGCGCAAAGACACATATTTTCTATTTCTTTTAAGTCTTTCAAATGCAATTGGTTCGATTAAAGTACGATTGATAGTCTTTTATAATAAAAAATCTCACGACAACGGTCTTATATACAGGTCTGGATACTCAGCGGACATGGTCTCAGCGCCGTTTAGGACTTCGGATTTTAGTTCGGAATATGAGGCGCTAGTATCGGAGGATCCTGTTTGTACGCATGCGCAATCACCCGATTTTTTTCATCCTTGATTCACCCCAACAAAGCTTGTTAAAATGTTACAAACTTTAGAATCATGTTATAAGCAAATTTCGATTTTCCTGATGTTTATAATCGTACGATTGATGATATGTTAAGTTCACATCACTTCTCTTTCTCTTGCACAAAGGAAAATGGTAGTAATGAATAGATAAATGAATAGATAGAAATAACAGAACATGGCACCATGCATTATTATTTAAGAATGCGTATGCGTTAATCCTCTCACCAAATCACAAATACTAAACACGAAAGAAAAGTGTTGCAAAGAGAAAACTAGCCAAATTTTATAAGGATTAAGTAATGAATAAAGCATTTATGTATATTTTTCAAGAAATCAAGTTGTTAGATGTTACAGAGAGACGATAACATTTTTTACGTAGTTCACGACGGTTTGTGGTCGAAATTAGTTATTGCTTCATATATTTTATAAATGAAAAGAAATAACAGCGTATCACATCAAGAAATTACATATTATAGTACAAAATTTGTATATTCTTTCGTACCTTTGTCATAGTGGTTAATGATATTATAGTTATAGTTATAACTATACTCTGGTGTGCATGTGCTATTAGAAAGAGATGCACTAGGCTCCTCCGACAGTAGCGCAGCGGTCAAAAGTGGAAACTTTCGGAGTCATTTGCTTGCAAGGCGTGAGACGCGTGAAGTGCTCAGACCTGTAGATACTTAAAACCGTGGTCAGAACTTTTAACCCCTATAAATTTCTATAATTTCATCCCTTCAGAATCGAACAAAATGCAGTTTTCACTATTCGCCATGAGCATTATTCTCCAATTGGTTTCATTTATACATGTCAACCGAAAATATGGGAAACTGCAAAACTGGCACTGGAGGTGTCCAACTTTGGGGGTTCATTACACCCCCTTAAAATAGTTTATCTGCCAATAACAAAAAAAACTACGTGTTACTTAGATTTCGATGAAGAATAACATCCGATAACGAGCAAAATCAGAGGGGGACACCGGAAACAGTTTCCTTGTGAATGACTCAGATTTACCGGGCCCCTTGGCACCTCCCGAAAGAAGTCGTCCAAGTCGAAATATCACGGCCCTCTCATACTCCTGCACCACCTGAAAGGGTTCTCGTGTTATTTTATGAAATTCTGACAATATCATTATGATTAATCGTACCTTAAAGCAAACAAATAGAGAGAATGGCATCGTCAATATAACGACGATCCATGAGAGGACTACCAGAATGTTGCCACATGTCTTCGAGTCTCCCTCTCGGCTATCCTCGGCTATAACATAGAAAAACATAAGACATTCAGTACGACTCTCTCATGATGCTGCAAAAAAGAGTGTTTATGATTATTATTTTATTATTATTTGTTATTACTGTTGTACCAACAAATTTTATTGAAATTTTATTTCCTCAATCGGCAACCAGTCATTTTGAAAAGTAGTATTTAACCTTTCGACAGACTGCGTCAACTGTATATAGGTTTGGTGCTATTTCTAACCGTTTTTATGTAAGAGAGATGAGATATGTAACAAATAAGTTCATAATAAAAGTAATTTTATCGAAACAATGGTTTTGGTCAAAGGGTTATTAACTTACACGGATGTTTAACAATATATAGTACTATTTCAGAATCGTAACTTATTGTATATATTTAAAATAAAAATTAATGCTTTTTCAGAAATGCGACTCTATTTCTTATACTAGTTAATGGTGCAGGAGGAGAATAAATGAATATCACTAAGGAGCGATGGGACTTGTTAATAAGATATTGCCTTATCAATCGATAAGACTATTTTTTTAGCACTAAATTCTTAAACGCGTACAAATGCCGAGATGTCTTTTACCATAACAAATGTTTCAGGCAAATAATGTTTCCTCATTGAGACTAGGACTGAGTTGTTAAATATTATAGAGAATAATTTTGGTAGCGTAAAACGTATAGAAAATAGACTATATTCCATTCGAAAGTGGAATACGAGGGTAGTCTGTATGGAAACGGAACACAGTTCTAGGTAAGTAGATACATGTATTTATTGATAACATTGACGGATACGACGCTGTATATAGATAACGAAAATCAATAACCACGTGAACTACATAAATTCTTGAACATACATGACATCCATCCATAAACTTGTTGTCAATTCGACTAAAATGGATGAAAAGGCATGCAAACTATGTCATTCAGATCAGTTCAGATCAGATCAAACTATGTCATGTCAATCAGTGTTACATTTTCTCATTGAATACTTTAGCAAGAATGTATACTCGATTTTAGCTAGATGCTTTTCAACTGTTAAAAGAATAAAGAATGGCCGAGCCAGTAAAAAGGGAAATTAAAAAACTATTTGTCAGAGTATTTAAGATGATTGCAGAAGAAAAAAAGGAGCGAATCAGTTGCTACTGGCGTGATCACAACGTTTGCTACATGCATCTAAGTATGTCTTTACACCGTAGACTAGAGCATAGTAATTTTTTAATCAGTCCATCGATAGAAACAATTTTTTTATTTGTCACACTTGAGGTAAAGTGCCAGAACGGATTGGTGTTTTGGTGTCAATTACAATACCAAAACTACATTTTATACACAGAAGACACACAACAAATTTTATTGTGATCCGTAGCCTCTTTGGAAAGTTAATGTGTTTTTGGACAGAATTTACCACAGGCAGACAGACAGACATAAATGAGTGAATGCTTTTTTTGGAATCTAGGACCCTCAAAACATGTATTTCCATCAAAATCTGGGAGTCGATTTTTTTTGGATTGCAATACTTTCTTACATACTTTGTATGTGATGAGAAAGTAAAAAGGGAAGGGAATACATTCCATACCTATTATAATGATGGATATAACGCAACACCATCTAAAAGAATGCAGAAAGTCACTGGGAATGGAAAATAATTAAAAAGAATTGAGCATAAATAAAAACTAGCACGTAGTATATTGTAGAATGCAAAATATATAGCAGCAACCCCACGTGAAAAATAATGTATAAATTATATCTAAATTATATAGTTTTTTGTATACAAAAATTAGCATATATAACATATAATCTATATGTAACCTCTATATAAAATATAAATATTTTAATATATCATCAAGTTGAAGAAATTTCTCGTAAGAAAATGCACCAATGGTATAGAACAAAAGTAGATACTGAGGACCAGAGTCAAGATACAATAGAAGAATTTCTTATCTCAGAATCGAAATACGGAAAAGGAATTAATGCAAATTCTATACGTATGTATTTACTCCTTTTAGCCCTATGAACCCATATACATATGCGTTGTGAGAAAATAGTTCCTCATCGCTTATTGACTTGTACTTGTACTTCGTCAAGACCGTACCTTTCACATACACGTTTGTCAGCGCACACCGCTCATACAATTAATATACCTATTTACAAAAATGTTATGCACTGAAACTTCAAGCTTATTCAGGAAAACGCGTGTTTTATCGTAAAAAGTGGGCAGACCATAGATAAAGGTTTTCTTCGCACAGCTCAGGACTGAAAGGATTAATGGTTAACTTTGACAGCTGATAATTCTATTCACACATTTTCTATTTATTTTCAACGTATAATCAAAATATACCCTGAATATATATTATAAATGTGCATTTTCGTATATAAAACACTACATATAATTTGTGTCTAATCTATAAATAATTTTTTCACGTGGGGTGCGTCACATTCTCAAATACGTATTCGAACTTGACTAGACTTAACCTACTCTAGGGGATGACCTGTATTTACTTACCGTCGGTCATTCTCACGCACACACTAGCTATACCCTCGATCTATGATTCTGTGGCGTCGATACTTGCGCGCGCGCGCGTACGGTTCCACCTCATAAACTCACGCACACACACAGCCAATCACACACACACACACACACACACACACACACACACACACACACACACACACACACACACACACACACACACACACACACACACACACACACACACACACACACACACACACACACACACACACACAGGCACATGCACTCTCCTTGATTATAAATATTTTCTTTAATTGTTTTATTACTCTACTGTTCTAAAATTCTAGAGTTTTAACGTTTCAGGATTCCAGCATGGAGGAATGCTCACAGCATTTTACCTCGACAGCACAAAGGCCACTGCGGACTCCGCACCCTGACCATCCCCCTTCAATCCCCATGGAAAACAACCCTACTATCGCCAACGCCACCATTGCTATTGCTATACGAGAGACATGCGCAAAATACAACTCTTATCCCTCTCCTCTCTATTTTCATCTTTACTCGATGTCCTCTTATCCTTTTACCCCAGAAATCATGTGCTCTTACATTAAAATTCATATATGAGCTTATACCTGAAGCTTCGTTACGTAGGTAGCAGATGGAATACCATCAACCTGTTTATCCGCCTGGCCATATGCGGTTGATATGAGGCTCGACATCGACTCTTTGTAATTATAGAGGTCAAAGTTTCACATATGTGGAACGTAACCCAGCGACCTTCCTTACATTCAAGTAATAATTTAGCATGCTACAGAGTCCATGAGGACAAGGACTATAGAAACGTTTAATTGTTACTTATTACATTTAAATATTATAGTGACGAATTCCAATATCTAGCGTATTTTTAAAATAAAAGTGTTAAAAAGATTGAAAATTGACTTTTCTGAATTTCCAACAAATCAATGTCGCATTTCTATATTGTGGCGTTTCGCGATTTTATTGCTCCCTGTCGTCTTTTAACGTACACTTGTCGTTCAGACTGATTCGAATCGAGTACGAACATACTGCGAATCTAACAACGAATGAATTCATGTCGAGGAAGCTGCTACCTATATATCTTCGGAAGGAATATGTTATATTTAGTGGGGATACGATTTTTGTTGTCCCGAGGTGTTAACGTAGAATTTTTATTCAATATTTGATTTGAAATTTTAATTCAATTAATATAGGATTAGTGGTTTCTTCAAGTGCCGGTTAATAGCGCTTGGGCACTCGTTTGTTTTGATTCTAGTCACCCGACTGGTTTTTGGATTGTTGGAATATTAAAGGTAATCTCTAATATTATCTCTTCATGATTGTCGCTATGACTAATTTTAAGAGAATTATATAATATTAGGGATTTGAAGGTCCTATTTTCCCTTTCCTTTATCAGCGTCGCTGTGAGAGATCGATAGGAAATTTGAGGAGTTCTTTCAGATACAATTTGCACATCCACAGTGCTCTAGGCACTCTTATGTGGGGCTCTGGACGTATCGGTCATAGAGAATGGGTGGTTGGGAAGAAAAAAGGATACAAAATAAGGGCACTATAACAGCGGAACGTCACAATATATTACTTACGTATAGAATGTAAAATATTTTGTCTACTACATTTTGATTGTAATCTTCTATCTTTACACGGCCTGTGTTTCATCTATGAGTGTGCTGCTATGACAGTAGCTGCTGTATACCAAAAATAAGACAAGGTGCGCCTCGTGCTCATCTAGGAGCTGTTCACAAACTTGCTAGAAACATACTCAAAGTTCATTCTTATCTCCCATACTAATAGTTAAAGTTGCGTAGTTGCCTTTTTCTAATAGTTCATGATGCACCCAGAACAAGTTCATGAACAACTCCCATTATTGTGTAGCACGCAATGGACAATTTCATGTGAACCTAAAAAAGTTTACAATCATCGCTTTGACGCTTTGGCCGCTGGTTGTTAAACTCTAAATTCCGTGTACGACTATATATTGATGTAATAGATAACTAATAATTGATGCCGAATATCAGGATCCAAATACGGTAGAAGAAATAATGTAAATTCTGTAGGTCTATGCATGGATATGTGACATTATGTATACAATATTTCCTGTCTTATAAAAGTTTTTAATCAAACGTATCTTAGATATTCAATTGTAATGTATAATTTTGCACGAAATAAATGTTTAACAGTTTTTAAAAATTAAAATCACATTTCATTTTAAATTCGGTTCTTTTTCTAATATACAGGGTGAATCACGAATCGTGATCGGTAGAGATTACTTTGTTATTAGCAGTCCGATCGAAAATGTTTGTATCAGTTTTTGCATGGTTTCAAGAGAGCTTTAACGTGATAGTGAGAAATTACTGGTCAACTCTTTTTTTAAATATTTTTTCAAGGTGCATTTTTTCAGTTGCATTTTTTGCAACTGAACATATAATTTTTTTACTCCTGTCTGTTAGAGGATTCGAAGACGAATTCGGCATATGTAAAGACATGACATTTTTTTCATCTGGTTCGAAAG